CAAATTTTAGTAAAATAATTTTAGGACAATGAAAATAAAAAGAAAAATAAAAATTTTGTAAAATTTTTATTGAACTTCCAAAAATTCCTATTAAGGTTTTCGTTAGAACTTAATAATATGTTTGGGTTTAGAAGAATGAAGGGTAGAGGAGGGGAGAGAAGAAAGATTTTTTGACTAATTAGATTATAATATTTAAAATATTATAATTTAATTAATTAAAAAACTCTCCCCTCCCCTCTACTCAATCCAAACATACTATAAAAGAACTAACTAACCTCATAGGATTAAGTTTGGTAATTTGAAAAGGTCCCCTCCTCTCCTCTCAATCCAAACATACTATAAAAGAACTAACTAACCTCATAGGATTAAGTTTGGTAATTCGAAAAGGTCCCCTCCCCTCTTCTCACAATCCAAACATACTATAAAAGAACTACACAATCCAAACATATTGTAAAAAAAACTAACCAACATGGTAAGATTAAGCTTGGTAATTTGACAAGGTTAGGGACCATTTTTAGATTAAATAAAAAAATTAAAACAATATTATTTATGATAAAAATGAAGGACTAAATCTAATATTTACCTTAAAAAAATAGTGTGCTTGTGCCCTAACGGAAAAAGGGCACATGTTATTTTTATTTTTTTTAAAATGATCTGTACATACTTGATTTAACATATTTTTTGATATACTTTCAATTCAATTATTAAAAATATAATATAAATATAATCGATTCAATCAGTTTTTACATCTTATGTGCATGATTATATCTTTAAACTTATCCGTTTTTAATTTCAAACTAAAAAATAGTGATTTTAATAAGTATATTGTATAATATATTAAATTAAAGTGTATACCAATCACTATCTTTTTTTTTTTAACATTATATTGGAGGGGTCTATTTTGTCTCTCTTCATATCTCAAATTCATATTTCTTTTACTTTTATTTTTCTTATTTCCTTTGTCTCCAATTGTATGTCTATTTAAAAATAAAAATAATTGTGTGATTCATATTTTTATATTACAATAT